GTGGGGAGACCTGCCGCACTCCTGCTCACTCCCTGGCCCGACCTCCTCGCTCTGTCACCTCAGTGCGCGGCCCACGGCCCCCACAGCACAAGCGCTAAACGACTCAGCGCCCCAGTGAAGTCAGCGCTACGCACGAACCTCAGAAACACACGCTTTTTACCAAACCTTCACCCAGAGGCGTCAGACAAGCAGGCCGAGGGCCACTCACCTCCTTCATGGCCATCAGCTCGCCCGTGTCAACGCTGATGCAGGTGTAGACCTTCCCATACTGCCCTTCTCCTGTGAAGGGAACACACAGGCAGCTCTCGGTGACGCCAGGCCACGTTCGCGCGCCAACGGGACTCACCTTCCCCAAATCGGAGCTGTTCATAGCCCCTAACTGTGCTCACTGAAGCGACGACTGCAAGACCCCCTCGAGGTGTGCACGTCCCTAGTAACCGAGGTCCCAGGCCAGCCCTTCACGGCTTCCCTGTAAATGTCTGTAGACAGACTGCAACTGCCTTTGGCAAATCCCGCAGAGGCCTGCAGGCGAGCGCCACGCACCCTGGTCGCAGCCCCGCAGGAGGCCTGGCCGGGAGGGGTTCTGGCTGCCTGAGGCTGGGAGTCCTGGACCACAGATGCTCGGCAGGTAAACGCAGGGAAGTGGGAGGACCTGAGGGACGGGCAGGCTCCTTCTCTCCCACCACCACCACTTCTCCCCAGGAAACGAGTCAGGCCGTTTTAGAAAAGGCTGTCCTGTCCGTATTGGATCCCGTTTCTCTCCAATCATGTGTGCGTGGGGTAAGAGAGAACACAGACGACGGCAAATGGGCACAGCTATGCCGCTCCCCACTGGCACCTTCGGGAGCACAAGCAAAACTAGCCATTTAATGAAGCGTTTAACGTCTTCCTAAACCGCAGTTTGTACTGCTCTCAGGGCACATTTAACAAACGAAGGGAAAAAAGCCCCCGGCGCCCTCCGTGAAAGGCACACTGCACCTGCCACATGTGTGAGAAAAGGGCCGCAACACGCGTCCTGCCCTGAAGAAGTGTGGCTCCTGCTATTTCTAACGGAGCAAACGTGTCATGTTCTTTAGTGTCCTTACCAATTTTGTTTCCTCTTTGCCACTTGAAGGTCACCTTCCTCAGGCCAACATGCATGACGTTATCGTACGATTTGGGGGTATCACACACTTGACCAATGATGTTCTTCCTCCTCATCTCTCGGTACCGCTTTTCTTCAAACAGCCGGACGGACTTCTGGATGGCTTCCATGGGCCCTTGTTTAGAAGCGGTATCTGCAGGGAGAGCCGCCCACTCAGGGTCACAGTCACTATCATCAAGTCCACTTCCAGCAAATCACCAGAATATGAGAGCCATGTGCACTGGCACTGCTCACAGCACAGCTCGGTCTAACAGCCCCGAGCAACCCCCCCGCCCTCGCACACGAGACACAGCCCATCAAGACAAGCCACCTCCCGAGGCTGGTGGTCAGACTACTGCCGTGACCATCTCCTGCCTCAGTCTCTCTTCTCTCCAATCCACTCTTGTTGGCCACAATGATCTTACCAAAAAATAAAATCCGATCATGTGACCTTCCTACAAAAACTTACTTCCCGGGTCATCACACCTGTTGATCACAAGTACAAAGCCCTCCAATGGACTCCAGTCTGCACAATGTGGACCCGGCCTCTGCCCAGCTCACTGGGTTGGGCCACTGCCCTTTCTCCGGCCACAGCCTCCGAGTCACACTACAGACCCTCAGGGAGCACCCAGCCGCTTCTCGCCCAGGCCTCTGCTCATGCTTTCCTGTTTGTCCTCCACCCAGGGCCTGGGGAGCCCGCAGCGCCGCTCAGCAGTGCCGCACCTCCCTCAGAAGCCCCCTCGGATGAGGGGGTTCGTCCTCTCCTTTGGGAGGGGCAGACACAGGAATAGGGCCCCGCCTCCCGTGTGCTCGGGGTCTGACAGAGGGCAACTCACTGGACCTCTCTACATGTCAAATTCCTGATCCGTGAACTGAAGGGATCGATACTAATGTAATCACGCATGGAAAGCACTGGCCCACGGACAGAAATTCAGGAAAACGCAGTAAATTCTGGCTCCTGTGATTCTCCATTTCCCCATCAGGCTCCACACCTCTATTTCTGCAACTTATTTTATCACAACTTACAGCGAGACGTCTTTCACACACGTGGAATCTGAAACAGCAGCTTCATAAACGTCACCACTGTTACTCCAGGCTATTTTTCACTCTGACTTCACATCCCACTGGTGGGTGACACCCACAGTGTGGAAAGCACTGCTTCTGCTCATCTCCTTGCAGCATTTCTCGTGCTGCTGCTCACTAGCTAGGAGCCTGGTGGTGGCAGAAAGACAGGTCCCTGAGGACTGGGACGAGAGGGTCCATTTGGGGTGGGAAATCCCCGAGTATTTGTATGCTCAATTACAGTGTCTCAACACCATCATCCCCTAAAATCACAGGTCCTGGCCCTTTATCTCCCGGCAACGAACGAGCTTTCCCAGCTGCGGCAGGGACTCTGCCGTCAGGCAGTTCTGGGAAAGGCTTTTCTTTAGAGTAAAACATTTCTCAAGATTCTCAGTCGTGAATATGTCAACGTGAACGGAAACTCTCTCAAGAGTTTCCAAGTTCACTTGACCTCCAAGTATTTGAAAATCATCACGAAGACCTGGTAACCGTGGGAACTACTGCAGCCACTGTACGTGAGCCACTGCAGAGACCTCCGCCCCGCCGCCTGCTCCCGCCATGCCCGCCCCCCATCTCCCCCACGCCCTCTACACCCACCCGACCTGCCCAGGCCTGTCGCTGTTGCACCACAGTTGCTTCTTGTTTCCATTCCTTTTCTAAGTCCCACCTTAGTCCTATCTTACGTCTTACACTGCGTCACTGCAATTACTCTCACCAGTCTCCCTCTCCCCCAAGCTCAGGTGAACCTCCCTCCGCGTCTTCCTTCTCCCACCTTCCCACTCCCCATCACACAAGCGGTTCTAGAGGCTTCCACCCCCGCTGCATCAGGCCGAGCCCACAATGACCGGACCTCCCCTCGCCTTCAATTTCACCTCCACTGACAGCTACGCCCGAGCCCCCTCGGGTGGCCTCCAGGTGTGTTTCTCCTTTGTACTTCTCTGGCTTGGTGCGGACTGGCCAGTCCTTCAGGGGCAGCTCGGGCCTCCAGGAACCCTCCTGGCTGCTCTGGCCGTGGGTGGTGGACAGCTACTCTCTGACCAGCCACCCACTTTCAAAGGGGTGCTGCGCGCAGTGTGCCCTGCTCCCTGCCACTCACACCCTGACCTCTCAGAACCTCTGGTCACTTATGGGGAGCAAGCAGGTGCATGCTGCCTGTTGCTCACACTGCTGTGACAACGACTCGTGAAAGCTCTCTGTGGGCCATCAAGTGACAGAGCAGTGATGTTTCTGCTACTTATTCTTTTGGTGAATTCGGACTGATTACCACTTGGTAAGATAAAAGTTTCCCTCAACTTCTTAGCCTAAAAAGTGAACAGTTCTATTCTAGTCAAAGGCACATGCCTGGGATGATCCCTAGTAAGGGATATTCGGGAGGCAACCAGTCGATGATTCTTCTCATCATTGATGTTTCTCTCTCTCTCCCTCTCTCTTTCGCTCTAAAGTCAATAAAATATATATACTAGAGGCCCGGTGCACGACATTCGTGCACTGGGCGGGTAGAGGAGGAGGGTGTCCCTCAGCCCGGCCTGCGCCCTCTCGCAGTCCAGGAACCCTCGGGAAATGCCTGGCTTGCGCCCTCTAGCAGTCCGGGACCCCCTCGGGGAGCAGGCCTAAGCTGGCAGGCAGACACCCCCCAAGGGGTCTTTAGGGCTGATGCAGAGGTGGGAGAGGCTCCTGCCACTGCTGCTGCACTCACCAGCCGTGAGCCTGGCTTCTGGCTGAGCGGTGCTCCCCCTGTGGGGGTGCACTGACCACAAGAGGGCACCTCCTGCATTTTGCATCTGCCTCCTGGTGGTCAATGCACGTCATAGCAACTGGTCATTCTGCTGTTGGGTCGATTTGCATATTAGGGTTTTATTATATAGGATAAAAAAAAAAAGAAACAGGAAATGGTGGAGTTAGCTGTAGACAGAGACCCCAAATACTAACACATGGGCCCAACGACCCGGAAGCTAAAGCACTGCCTCGGAAACCACTCCCTGTGCAGAAACATTTACAGTTTGACATTCTTTCTCTTACCTTTCGTCTGGCTGATCAGCGTCCGAAGTTCCCAACTTCTTCGGGTTGACCCACTTGAATCACCTTTTGGATATGCTGGTTCTGCAGAAAGCATTTTTCATACAAATGAAGACTCAGAACAAATCCGCTTACTAACTGACAGCAAGGCTGAGCGGTGAGTGTGGTGAGTCACCACCAGCCTGTCCTCTCTGCTGATTAACTAGTTTGGTGTGAGTGTGAGAAGCTGTCTCTACAATCAATCCTAGAAAATCGCACCAAACTAAGAAGTGGTTAATGGGTTACAACTTCAGCTCCATAAACCTTCCACAAGTAACGGCAGCATAACACTGAGCAGACACTGCTCAGGAGCCCAGCAGCGGTCCGCGTGAGCCACCACGGGCCTGGGGCAGATGCCTCGGTCTGTGTTATAATAAAACTCCAGCACGTCCCCGACAGCACAGTGTCACTTCTGCACTTGTAAAGAGAATAAGAACGCTTGGCAATTAAAACATCAGAAATAATGATTCTTTAAAAAGCAACAAAAGGAGACCTAGAAAATGCAAACACACCTAAATTAAAAAGCTGCGTGCTTGAGCCCGGCCGGCCTGGCTCAGTGGTTGAGCGTCAACCTATGAACCAGGAGGTCATGGTTCAATTCCCAGTCGGGGCACATGCCCGGGATGGGGGCTCGATCCCCAGCAGGGGGCGTGCAGGAGGCAGCCGCCAACCAATGGTTCTCTCTCATCATGGATGTTTCTCTCTCTCTCTCCCTCTCCCTTCCTCTCTGAAATCAATAAAAATATGTTTTTAAAAAATTTTAAAAACTCTCTCACGTCGATGGTTCTCTCCCTCCCTCCTGAGCCAAACCGGTTTTGGCAATAAAAACATTTAAAAAAAAAAAAAAAGCCAAGTGCTTGGCACCGAGTCCTCTCATAAAGCCTGGCTTCTCCCTCCTCCCTCGGAAAAGGCACAGACACAGAAATTGGAGGACGGAGACCAAGGGTGAGGCTCGTGAATGCAGGGGACACCTCCACACTCACCATCTCGCTCCTCGGTGGGGCTGGAGTGGCGACTCAGGGACCTGAACTGCAGCTCAGCTGCGACGGAAGCCAGCCGGTCGTTTTCAGGGACACTGGAACCCCTGTTGTGGTCGTTTTAAAAATGGAGCTATCAATTCAACGGAACTCAAAATGACAGCTCTGCGGCTCTCCCAGGGCAGTGGTTCTCAGCTGAGGGTGCCTGGGGTCCCGGGGACATCCAGCCGCCAGTGGGGAGAGGACAGCACAGAGGATGCCCCAGACAGAGCCCTGGTAGCCCCAAAGGAGCGGCGCTGCCTGGGGACCCTCCCCTGGAGTGCAGGAGGGAGCTGTACTTCCCTCCCCCACAGCCAGCACCACCTCACAACCTGACTGTGTAAGACATGGTTTTATGTTAAAAACAGCAAAACAGTATTTACTGAAGTGTGGACATGTATGGAAAGCTCATAACTCAAGCCCAGGGTGATAAAATTATTAGCCTAATCTGGTTAACATTTAAAATGATAACATTTAACATTTAAGTGCTAAAGTCACTGCATGGCTGGGAAGCAACAGGGAAACCTGAGGTTTCTCAAGCAAGAGCCAAGCGCAAGTGCAGAAGAGCAGGAAGCTTAACAACAAAGAACCAAGTTAATTTGCTGCTTTTCCGGAAGAAGGTTAAGGGAATTGTCCCGCAATCCAGGATGAATCCATCAAGAGTAAGACCCAAAGTGAAGGCAGGGAGGTGTGAACATTCTAATAACAAATCATCCACAATAAAAGCGGCGTCAGCTTATGAACAAGGGTCGTGTGTGTTCAGTGGGTGCTCTCAGGAAGTATGGTAGCATTTATGCTCTTTCTCAGACGCCGACCCAGGTCAGCCACGTGGTCTACGGAACAGACGAGCTCTGGGCCCGAGTGCTTCTGACGCCCCTGAGCTCTGCAACCCAGGGAGCACTCGCTGAGCCTGAAGACCGGACGCCCCTACTGCCACATGGCCTCTCCAGGTCGTGGCCCCACTCCGTGGAAAAGCACGGGTGCTCCCGGCCCTGCTCACGACCGGCACCGTGGGAAGTCACTCAGCACCTCTAAGCTCCTGATTTCCCAGAGACAAAATGAGTCAATTCCACGTCCTCCGAGAGCTTTGCCAGGATAAAAGGCAAGAAAATATACTTAAATGAAAGGTTATGCTGAGGAACTTGTTAATACCTAGTTTAGGGGGTGGAGGGAGGGTTGTAGAGTTTGATAATTTCCGTGGTGTAACAACTGGCTTGCAATATTCCTAAAAAATTAACAATTCAGCTCTTGCAAACCTGTAAGGGCCAGTTCCAGCAAGCAGAACTCTGTAAAACATTTTATGAGCAAGATGACTATTTCCTAAGTAAAACCCAACCACATGGAAATACTTATGGGCCCTGTGGGGCAAAGTACCACTGCACTGTGGCTGCACCTCAGGCGGGCAGGGCTGCACTCGGAGGGGCTGGCGCCCCTGCCAACAGGGAGGCGCGGGCATTGTCCTGCCGCCTCACAGCACAGTCACAAACCAGGGCTGCACGGAGACTGCGGCTCGCGGGCATGAGCGGTCGGTCTCCCAAGGCCCACCCCACAGGTTCCCGGCGGAGGGGCGGAGCCACACGTTAAACTGCACGTGCCAGGCTGGAATGCAGAGGGAACACAACCCCAGGCCACATGTCTCCACTTGGCTTTGCTGTTCTATCTCCTGTCATGTCCACACGACTGTAAAACGGAAATGGCATTCCTTTGTGAAAAATGGCCTGCAAGGTGGCATATAAATTTCTAACTATCAAGGATCATTCTGAGAGTGGACCTAATTACAAAATGCTACTCATAAGATGCTAAACATCTACTAGCCAAGGCCTAACACTAGAGGCATAAAAGGCATTTAGCTTTGATACTAAAATACACTTAATGTACACATTACCACCTTTATAAATGCCTCAAGCCACCGTTCATGAGCCTCTGAAAAGGGAGGACTTTACGCCCCCCCCCCGCCCCGCCCCGGGTCCTGGAGAAACAGTGTGGACTCGGAGCAGCAGGGGCCAGGCTACAGTCTTGGTGGCATGTCCTCCGCATCTGTGACTGCGCTCAGGGCACGTCACCCTGTAACTCTGTACGCACGTAGGGGCAAGACAGTCTCGTGCCCACAGGGACATGGAAGCACAAGGAAACACTAGCCAGGAAAAGCTCTACACGTAAAGATAAAGAGGGGAAATGGGAACTTGTTCAAAGTCAACTGAACTTTCTTAGTTAACTGCTTAAGCTGTAAGATACACTGGCATTTTTTAGGTTATAGACATTTATCACTAAAATTGGGAATATTAATGATTTAATGAGAACATGGGCATGTCTATGGGATTTTATACTGTTACAAAGTCTAAGCACAGTTTAGTCTGTGTGAGCTGCGAGCTCGGTCATCTTCTCGCCGACACAGCGCACTGGGGTCCTGCTCAACGATCGCCCAGCAGACTGTCGGGTCTGACTCCATCCCCGTCCTGACTGGAAGGTGAGGACGGGGACCCTCCTCCCAGACTCCGGGTACTGGACTTGGTTTTATCTTCTGGAGCTTGCCAAACACCTGAGGGCTCTCTCTGGCAAAGACCTATTCTCCATGAGGTACACGCCCCACAAACTCACTTTCTACTTTGCAAACTAACCAAGCATCATAGAAATTAAGTAACTTGGTTAGAAAGGTGACCCTCTTAAAAACACAAGTCACCACCTGAAGGACTAAGAGAAGCCATCCCTGCATCAGGCCCTGCTCCCCAACTCCTCCCGCCCCTCCTGGCGGGGACCAGGCTCTTTCCTCTTATACTCTCCCTAGAGTTACTCCTGGCAGAAGCTCTGGTCTTTCTGGTTAATATCAGCTCCAAAGAAAAACTGAAATCAGGCCGGTTATCTACTCATGCTGGCGGGGCCTGGAGCCGCGGGGCCGGAGCATCACACGCACCACGGGGAAGGACCCCGGGCCCGTGTCCTGGGACACCCAGGGCCAGGCCAGCGCGGAACAGCACAGGAGGGGCAGGGGCAGGGCACTGGCGGAGGGAGACTACCTGGCGTCATGGGCACTGCTGTTGGGTCTGGGTGGCGCGGAGTCGCCGCCTGCACCGGGGCCGTGGCTGCGGGCG